AACTAAATCAATTACATTTATATTATATTTTTAATAATTAAATTAATAAAAATATCAAAAATGTATATAAACCGAGTGTATACTAAAAATTAATTCCACATGGAGTCAAAAGTTAGTGGAACCCTTGAAACAACCAGGAAGAAGACTGATTTTAATTTCTTCAGGACTTGCTACTTTTTCTCATGACTTTTAAAATTTTTCAAAACCCAATTTCACGACATTGGAATTCAAATCTGCCTTCACCAACTTAAATTGAATGAGATTGAGTTAAAAGGAAGTAATCTCTTCATGGCTTAAACCCGCTACAAACCTTCTAACTATATATTTGTCTTTGGGATAATTAGGCTTTCAACATTCATTTTGTATATTTTTACCCATAAACTTATTGCTATAATTGACATAAAATGAACATAATATATCATCATGTGAATCAAATGGCCATCACTGATCTATTACCTTATTCTCATCAATATCATGCTAGCATAAATATGATCTATCTAGACTCATGGAAGCAAGAAAAATCCCACCTAAGATGGAAACTTATTTGTTCTTTCGGTCATGTTTTTTAACTTCCATGGGTTCAAGTGAACCATGTCTGTTCCAGCATGGTGCTAAAGAGGATATAGTTACAAAATAGTGAGTCACATACTCATATAACATATAAGATTCTGTTTATTAATTTTAAACTAATTATAGTAATAACATGAATTGTATTATCTATAGTTTCTCATGGGATATTCCTCTTTTTTCTTTTTTCTTTTTTTTTTTTTTGATATTGAGGAATGACATTTCACTAATAGGCTGCTAAAACGACTCAAAATTCCTCCTCCCTAACAAAACCATCATCTCAACTCACTAGGGAGTGTTGTTTAAGTTACCGAGACAAAATCTTGGAAAGGTTTGGAGAAAATTGCATACCTCCACATGTCTTGTCGGAAAATCATGAAAATTATACTCCTCATTTATTAGTTTTTTCTTCATATATAACAACTCATCCCACTAATCATACTATTTATTTTGGCCTATTGGACCTTGCAATTTTAAAACACACTAATAGTCTAATGGGTGTTGACTTATTAGAAGTGTTGATAACCAAACTCTAATACCATATGCAATGACCAAACCCATTAGTGATACAATCCACTTTGGCCCATAAAACCTCATAGTTGTAAAAATGCATCAAAAGGGGTTAATGTGTGTCAATTTATATGCCTAGCATCTCTTCCATATTTTATTATTATGGGATTTGTTTAAATTAAAATCCATCATTAGTCTAGCAACTCTTTGGATTGAGGTCCATGAACCCTTAAAAATTTAAAGTCCTAACAATTATATATGAATCACATCACACCTCCATCTTGGTATTGGATTCAAGGTGTCATAATCACCCAAACTTAAAAGCTTGATATCCTCATCAAGCCCAATCACAATTAAAACAAAACTCACTTACCCACAAGTATAAGTTCTATCTCAAGTGATGAGAGATCAAAACTACCATTGATCATGATGGTTAGCATGCACTACAAGGAAACAGGTGTTTTGTGACGGTAAACTTAGTCACAAAAACTTATATTTTTGTCACAAATTGCATTTGTGTTTAAAATTGGTTAAACCCCCAATTTGGTCCCTCATGTAATAGCAGAGAGCTTAGTGGAAGTAAGGGGTAGACCCAAATATTTCACAGGTAATTGCCCTTCACTGAACCTTATTTGATTTAGAATGTGCCTTTTCAATACATCTAACACACCTCCAAAAAATATTTGGCTTTTTGAGCTATTAATAACGAGTCTAGTAGCCATAGAGAATTTATCAAACAAACTTCTAATAATAAAAGGAGAAGCCTTATCAGCTTTGCAAAAAATCATCACATCATCAGCAAAAATTAAGTGTGTCAACTTTAACTTCTTGCACCTACTATGATATTGAAAATCCTTATTTGCCTCTAACTCTTGCAATATTCTTGTCAAATATTCCATTACAAGCACAAAGAGATAGGGGGACATTGGATCACCTTGCTTAAGTCCTCTTTTCCCTTGAAAAAAACCATAAGGTTGCCCATTTAATACCACAGAAAATCTAGCTGAACTCACACATACCATGATCCATCTTACAAACTCAAGAGGAAATTGCAGTTCAATTAACAAACTCTCCAAAAAACCCCAATGCAATGTATCATAAGCTTTCCTCAAATCAATCTTCATCAAACATCTAGGGGAACCCCCACTTCTATGATAATTCCTGACTAGATCCTGACAAACAAGGATGTTTGTTGTGATAGATCTCCCCTTCACAAAAGCAGCTTGATTAGCACTAACTAGAAATTTTAGTACCTTAGTCATCCTCTGAGCTATCAACTTTGTAATTATCTTATAAGTAACGTTACAACACGAAATAGGTCTAAAGTCACCCACAGTATTAGGACAATTTGTCTTGGGAACAACACTAATATTAGTAGCATTAACCTGCCCAAGTAGCTTCCCACTATGAAAAAAATTTAATATTGCTGCAACAAAATCTACATTAACAATCCCCTAAGCTGCTTTGAAAAAACTTGAAGTAAAACCATTAGGCCTAGGTGATTTACTGTCATGTATAGTAAAAAGGGCATCCTTAATCTCCTCTTCATTAAAGGGCCTACACAATCTTAGGCTCTCCTCATTTAAAAGTAACCTTCCTCTTTTAACTATAGCAGAATCAATAGAAGGAACCCCTTCAACAGAGGTACCAAATAAAATTTGGAAGAAATTAACAAATTCTTGGCCAATGTCATCCCTTTGAGTAATTCTTTTGCCAGCTTCAGTAGTCAAACTAGCAATATTCCCTTTGTGTTGTTTCTCTTACACTATTGCATGAAAATATGAAGAGTTGGTATCAACCTCTCTAAGCCAATCAACTTTAGCTTTTTGTGCTGCCAACATTAGGTCAGCTTCAACTACCCTTTCATATTCTCGAGTAGCTTCCTTCACTTCCTGTATTATATGATCATTAAAAGGATTAGACTGCAATGCCTCTTGTTTCTTAATAAGCTCTCCCTTTGCACAAGAAACCCTCTGTTGCAAACCTCCAAACTTAGCTCGATGTAGCTTCTTCATTTGCAATTTAACTGCCTTGAGTTTTTGCACTAGGACATACATAGGGTAGCCTCTTACCTCTTGTTGCCAAGCCAGCTTTACTAAATTCAGGAATTCCTCATCCTTCGTCCACATGTTACAAAATCTAAATGCCTTATGCAGAACATTGGAAACAACCTCCATTGTAATTACACATGGAGAATGATCCGAGATACCAGCATTTAAAAAGCATGCAGCAGACATAGGAAAATTTGTAAGCCAAGCAGCATTGACTAAAGCCCTATCCAATTTGCAATAAAGCCTAGCCTCACCATATTGATTGTTACACCAAGTGTAGTTCAACCAGTAAACTTTAAATCAAATACCTCACATTTGTCCACAAAGTTCTGAAGTTCAAAGGTATCACTAGGCACTATCTGTCCTTTCTTACATCTCTCTTCCTGCTTAAGCACAATATTAAAGTCCCCTAATACAATCCAAGGCTGGTTTTGAGCACCCAAAAGATCAAGACTCTGCCATAAAGACTCCCTTTCACTTGGAGTATTAAAAGCATCTATAACAGTGCATAGAAACTTCACCCTAGAATTTAAAACCACCACATGACAGTGCAAGAATTGATCTCCTTGTGTAACTTCAGTTACCTCCACCCTTAGTTTATCCCACACCAACCAAATTCTACCATTATAAGCACTATTATATGTATGCAACCATCCCCATTTATCTCCTAATTTTTTAACTATTCTACTACTATTCTCATATTTCACTCTAGTCTCTAGAAAAGCCATAATTGAGATATTATTTGTCAATAAAAAATTCCTACCCTCTACTTGATGAGAAGGGTCATTAAAAGCCCTCACATTCCAAAAAGCAATAGTGATCATTTATTTAAGAGAGGGGAAAAAAAACCTCCACCAGCCGCTTGCATCCCATCCTTCTGAGCAAGAACTTGTCCACCACTAGCTTTTTCACCAACCTGTCTTGAAAACACTTCCGGAAACAAAGCTGTCACATTACCATCATCAACAACAATTCCTTTGACATGGTCAGATTCCATTGTAGGCATGTCCTTATCAACCACCACCATAGACTCTAGTGCTTCATCTTGCTTGCACTATTGGAAAACAACCTCACTAAGTATATTAGGCTCAACCTATACCATAGCTGCATCATCTTGCTGCATACTAGGCTTAATAAGCTGCTTCTGTTCCACAGAACCTTTAACTACCCACATCTTCTTAATTTTAGCCTTACAATACCTTTCCTCATGTCCAAGGTTACCACATTTTCCACAGCGCACTGGGGACCATTCAAAGATTACTGGTTGCTGAAAAATACCCTTGGGCCCAACTACAGGTACCACCTGTGGTAACTCCTCCATAATCTCAACTTCCACTAGCATCCTAGCAAAAGACGCTCGTTGCCTCTTAGCAGTCAATGCATCAGTAGCAATAGGAACACCCAGGTAACTGGCCATTTTCCCTAAGCTTTTAGGATTCCAAAGACTCAAATGCAAATCAGGAAACTGAATCCACACGGGTATCTTGCTAACATCAAGGTTATCAGGATCAAACTCAGGGGTCCATTGTTTCAAAATTAGATGATGGTCCTGAAAAGTCCATCTCTTTTCTAAGACAGCCTGCTTCGCCTCCCCATCTGCAAAATCAAACAAAAATACACCAATCTTAAGTGAAAAAACCTTTGGTACTTGGAATTCCTTCCATCTATTATTAGCATAATTAGCCATATCCTTGAAATGCGGCTTGCATCCAAGGACATAACCAACTAAAGCATTCTCCCATACCTTGGAACCCTGATACCATTCATCCTTGGTAATCACCACAGCACCAGAGGGGTCTTGAGGTTTTACATATTGCAACTCCCATCCCTTCTTAATATCTCTGTTTCCTTGCACTATCGACAACCAACTTATAACCGACTTCCGTAGTGGCTGAGTCAGTACTTCATCCTTCTCTCCATCAACCAAATCAATCCACCGAACTCTAGGAATCTCAGTCTTTACACCCGAAGAAGTAGCCCCATTGGTACCAATTAAAAGCTTAGCAGGGGATTCTAGAGATTGGGTATCTGAACCCACTACCCTTTTACCTTCCCTCTTCCCCTCCTCTAAATTAGTGAGAACCTGAGTTACCACAGCCTCCTTTCTAGACTCAATTGTTGTCGCCTCATCCACCCCAGTATCCCTAGGATCTGACTGCAACTCACCCACCTCCTCTACCACAAGACCCATAAGCTCAAGATCCCGTGCAACGAGCTTTACTTCCTCTACTTGCTCCTTAATAGCATCCTCAATCGGACTATTCTTAGCATCATTCTCAACACTTTTTGTACCACTAACCTCTTTTGATGGACCTCCCCTAGGTGGGGCATCCTTTTTCTTCCTACCTCTACCACCCATTCCCGGTGTTTTCAGCAAACCGCCATGCCTGCGTATGATAGCAAAAAGAAGTTATTGTGCGCCTGTAGAGCAGTTAACAAAAATGAGTAGTTTGTTTTGTATTGCATTTCATCACTGTTTTTGATGAATTTTGTGTATTTGGCTGGTGTTTTATCAATAAGGGTTTGAGTACCTATTGAACTTAGTTCAATAAAATTCTTCTTTTGAAAAAAAAAAAAACAAAGGCACACGCACGCACCTTTTCCATGCCTTTTGCAATCAAGTGGATGTGAAATAAGGAAATTACAATAAAATTCAAAAGATTGCTGTGAGTTAGAATTTGGATTGACTTAACATACTATTGTTTTACTTTTGGATGTTATTAGATTGAGTTAGAATTTAGGATGTTTCCGTTGATTAGTATTTCAGTCCCCTTGTTTGATCTTGTGTCTGTGAGAAGTATAGGGTACCAATGCTCTGATTAGCAGGGCTTAGATGTATTGGAAGTATCATTTGCACTCCTTTCTTTTGATTAACATAAAAACCTCTGTTTGGTTGATTAAAAAAAGTCAATGTACATTTTTATTGTAACCAACGAAAGGGCAAAAAAAGGAGGACGAAGATTAAAGGGAAATTCTAATGACTATCTGTTTGTGTTGCAGAAGGCCTATGTTTCAGAACTGCTTCCCAGAAACTGGAATATACACTTAACTACGTAACCAATCGGCCATGACAGAGCTGCGATACCAATGCAAGCACCCGATTGCATCCAATCCAACCTCTCAGTATTAGCAAACCTCCTTAGAAACTCCACCATTATCACTTGAAGAACTACTGTAATTCCAATGATTGCCAAAAACAACTTGTTTTTGTGTATCCCTTCAAATATGTTTCTCTTCTCTAGCTTTCTTGCATTAAATTCATTGAAGACTTGACAGAGGACAAAAGTATTGAATATTAGGGTGTTTTTGACCTGCTCTGTCACTCCAAAAATGGATGTTCCCTTGAATATTGTAGAATCAGTAAGATAGCTACCTGATAGAGGGAATGAGCAATGAGGTTCCTCCGCATTACATTGGTTATAAGGGGCTCAACACGGCCTACAGGTGGCTTTTTCATGAGATCGTTGGTAGGTTGGTCAGTGGCCAAGGCTAGTGCCCCCAAGGTGTCCATTATGAGGTTCACCCACAATAGCTGGACTGCAGTTAGAGGAACTTTACCAGAAGAAACAGCTGCAATGAAGTTAATGACCAAGGCAGCAATATTCACTGTAAGTCGAAATTGAATAAACTTTTGGATATTGGTGTAGACGCACCTTCCCCATCTCAAAACAGTCACCAGAGAGGTGAAGTTGTCATCCAAAATGACGATGTCTGAGCTATCTTTGGCGACTTCGGTGCCTTGAATTCCCATGGAAAGCCCAATATCTGCTTCTTTTAGTGCTGGAGCATCGTTTGTACCATCTCCTGTGACTGCTACCACATGCCCATTCTGCTTCAAGCATTGTACCATTAGAAGCTTGTCAAAGGGGGATGATCGAGCCATTACTCTGATATTTTCAATCTTTTGCATTCTTTCTTCAGGTGAGTAATTTCTAAACTGCACACCTTCCACTACAGCTTCATTTGTTAAATCCTCATCAAGACTGAGAATACCACATTCAACAGCTATAGCTCTTGCTGTGTGCAGGTTGTCTCCTGTGATCATTTTGATATTGACACCTGCTTTTATGCAAGATTCTACTGCCTCTCTGACACCTGGCCGACATGGGTCCTTCAAACCAACAAGTCCCAGCAAGGTGAGTCCTGTTTCTTCAAGCTTCAAATGAATCTGTTCATTTTCTTCTCTTACTTTTGCATAAGCAAATCCAACACAACGCAAGCTTTTAGCTGCCATTTGTTCAATTATGGCTCCAATCATCATTCTTTCTTCATCATTCATGTCCTTCACTGTCCCAGTTTTGTCATAGTAGGTTGAACACATGGCTAGTATGATTTCAGCTGCCCCTTTCCAGTGAATTGCAAGTGCACTCTGTTTGCTTCTCCTTATCAGAACCCCGCTCTTCTTTTTCTCTGAATTGAAGGCTTCGACATGAATTATTTCACAATTCAGTTTTGGTTCATTAACGTTCATACCCAAATTGGTCACAGCCCAAGAGAGTATTGCTTTCTCGGTTGGACTTCCAGAGATTTCTGGAACTGAAGTAGAATCTGGTTTGTAAACGGTACCACTACTGTTTAAACCAACCCCTTCATTAATTAATTGAAAGAGATTACATGATATTTCATGGGATAGAGAATTGTTGATCATTTCTTTGCCAACCCAAAACTCTATAACCTTCATCTCATTTAAAGTAAGAGTGCCTGTTTTGTCAGTGCAGATTGTGGTGGCTGAACCCATGGTTTCACATGCTGACAGTTTCCGCACCAAGGCATTATCCTTCACCATACGCTTCATGGAATAGGCCAGAGTTAAAGTGACAGCCAAAGGTAACCCTTCTGGAATTGCCATTACCACAATGGTAACTGCAGCACCTATAATTCCCAGGACTGAATTCATAACAGCATCAAGCTTGGTGTTACTCCCATTGTATTCAATTTTTCCGGTTGCATCTTTAGTGTGTCCGGTGAAGTAACGAACTCGCAAAAT